AAAAAACACATCTTAGTAAAACTAATACCTTCTCAGCTTCGCATCGATTGAATCAAATGAATTTATTACCATAACTTTTTAAGCTCAATTTGCAAGTTTGAAATTGACATCATTAAATAAAAAAAATGGTATTCTTAAGATTAATATGCATCAGGAAATTTTATTATTACTATTTACAGTATTTTTTTTATTTCATCCATTGCTAAATTCAGGTGAAACTAAAAATCATTTTTTTTTTTAGNGTATTTTTTTTATTTCATCCATTGCTAAATTCAGGTGAAACTAAAAATCATTTTTTTTTTTAGATTTATGATTTATATAGCAACATGTTACGAAAAAATTTGGAATGTTTTAGACTGGTAGTAGCACACATAAATAGAGTGAAAAAATTAATAAATTTAAAAGTAAATTTATATAATATCAAATCTAATTTGACAATATACTATAAAAATATTAGAAATGAATGATTTTAATTGTTTGTATGGATAAAGCTGGTTAAGCTACTTGTTATTTGATTAAGGGATGTTTTTTCAATTTTTAAGGGTTCTTTACGTCAACTAAAGTCGAATTGTAATCATTTGACGTAACGTTGATAAAAGTAGGTCAAGTGAGGGTTGGCAAAATAAATCGTAGCCACAAAAAAACCACATAGTAAAATTATATTAACACGAATAAGAAATTTTTTCTCACGAGGGGAGACTATAGTGATGGGATCTTTGATATTTATTGAAGTTACTGAATCTAAATGAGATAAAAGTCAAATGATTTGAAAATTTTATTCTAACTCAAAAAAAATGCAAAATATTAATGGCCACAGACAGATTTGAACCTCGTACCCTAGGCATGATAGACACAAGTGTTCTTTGCTTTTGTAAAAAAATGTTAATAAGTTTAATTTCTTATGTCTTATGAACTTTATTCTATGTCAATTAAATTATATAATATTCATGAAAGTTAGTGTATTCCCCTTGTAAGATATTTTAAAATAAAATATAAAACCCAGGATTTTAACACAAAAATAGCATATTTTTTAATACGGTCGCCATTTTTTTTAATTTTATAGTACATGACATAAGCTTTAATTTTATATATGTTGAAAGGACGCAGTATTTCCGGAACATTTTTAAAAGTTAAATTGAAAAAATTAGTTTTTAAAAATAAGTTGCTATTTTAAACCTCCCCCCAGTGAGCAGGTTAAGTGTTAGATTTTCAAAAAAAATGATATCAAATGAAAGGAAATTACTTAAGGTTACAATATAAAAAAATATTATTTTGTTTTGTTAATATTTGAAAAAGTTATGGTAGTTTTAAGTACAAAAAACATCCCAATAGAATTTGATTTTTATCGCAAACATTACATTTTTTGTTGAATTTCAGCAGCCATTTGCACATAGAAGATAAGGTATCGGGACAAATTTTTTTTTTCATTTTATAGAATATGACATAACTTTTAATTTGATATATGTTTTGAAGGACGCAGTAGTTCCGGAACATTTTCAAAAGTTAAGTTGAAAAAGATCTATTTTTTATACAATGTTTCAAGTTTTGAACACCACCTATATAAGGGGAAATTGTTCAATTCTAATAAAAAGTATGTCAAATGAAAGATGTACTTATAGTAGTGTATTTTGAAAAAAAAATTTGTGCTATTTTAAATCCCCCCCAGTGAGCAGGTTAAGTGTTAGATTTTCAAACAAATGATATCAAATGAAAGGGAAATATCTAAAGTTTTAGTATAAAAAAAATTATGTTGATTTGTTGAATTTTGAAAAAGTTATGGAAGTTTTAAGAAAAAAAAGTGAAAAAAAGGACAAAATTTACCGATTTTTAAATTTGTAATTTTTTTGGAGATTTCCCCCATTTGCGGGGAACGAAGGAAATTTTTTAATTTTTAAGGATAATGTCTTCAACTAGATACGATGTGATCTTTTGACGTATTGATGAAAGAAATCGGTCCAGTGAGAGTTGAGAAAAAGTGGCAACAGATATAAAAAAAAAAAAATAAACACATCATGGTAAAATTAATACCTTCCCAGCTTCGCATCGAAGCTAAAATTAAAGGAACTTCTTGGATTAAAATTAAAACAATTTAAGATTTTGATACTAAACATGGAGATTGCGTATAAGAATTTGGTTGTCTATTATAAGAGCTAGAAGGAGGAATGCGGTATATAGGATTATTTATGTCTGATGACTGAAAAGAGCTTAATTAATTATTGATCGGAACAATAGTTTGAATTTGAGAATTTATAGGAAGAGGATTGGAAAATCTGACTAATATTGTAAAAAAAAAAAATACATTTTCATTCATATTGAACGACGTATAATTTGTTCAAAAAATTAAATTTATGAGAAAAAAAAGCCATTTTGTAGACTAATTAACATAGCTATGCAGTCCGAGCTAACAGGCCAACTTTCATTTCACATTGCTGGCTGTATAATATGCAAGAAATATGCTTCAATCCTTCAAACAAACGTTACAGTAAAAAATCTTCTGTTTTTAAATTTCAATTTGAATTAAAATTCTCAATTCCATTGATTTTAATTTGGCCTACGCTGTTAATGATAGTACCTCAGCCTACCTACACTTCAAAGTCTTATGCAGTTGTATATGAGCCCTTCGTGACAGCACTGTTTTCAAAGTAAATACAAAGGGTAATTAGAAAATTAATTAGATTCTAAATAGTATTCTCATCTTGGACAGCAATTATAAATGCTTCGGTATTAAACATACTAAATATTTTTTTAATTTATAAAATATTAATTATTTTAAAATTGTTATTTCAAAAATAACAAGGTTACTCAGAAGATAACAAAATGATAGAATAAATATGATACTCGACGAGCGACGAAAACACTGTCAAAAGCAGTGTGAATGGTCTAATTGAAAACCAGTTGTTCTATTTTGACGTCCAGACGGCCAAAATTATGAGCGTTCGATGGCGTCGGCCGTCACAGGAAACGCGCGTCTCAATTGCAGTGTGTCACATGAATATACAGTAACAATTTGACCAGCGTCGTCAGCGTTGCCAACGCAGCGTCGAAAACGCGTAGTGTGAAAACGGCTCAAAACGTTTTTCAAATGTAACCATTTAATTTTTATCGTTATTCTATGGCGGTTCCGTTTTTGTGGTTTATTTTTAAGGAGGGAAAATAAACCTTGCTCCTTTTAACGATTACTCGTACAGGATTGTTGTTTTCACCATTAAAAAAATAATAATATCGGCGTATTTTTTGAAAATATATTCGTTGCTATGAACACAACGCCGTGTGTCATTAAACGACACACGATTTGGTTTTTGTTGCGACAAAATCAATTTTTGCTCGGCCATAAAATATTTTTCTGGGGCCGTGTTCCCATTCACATTTAATATGTGGAAGGTGTAAAACGACGGGCCAGGACCTAGGGCGTTATTAAGCCTTGTTCACTAGGAACACTGCTATTTTGAACAAATAAAACAAAAAATAAAATGAACACAAAGTGTTATAAAAAAATGACTAGATTTATTATTACTAAAACAAACGCGTTGAAACGCGGCGACATTCGTTACGACGGGAAAGTCTCCCTTACAGTTATAAATTAGCAATCAAAACTGGTAATATGTACACAAATCGTATAAATAATAATAATGCTTACGTCTACTAAATAAATGATTAATGTTAGTACCGTTTTAATGTCAAAAGTATATCAGTAAAAAAAAGTACATTTTAATACTTATTTTTTTTTAAATATTAGTGTAGGTCGTCATCATAAGGAGTTATTTTAATTTATTCAACACAAACAAAAAATCGAGTGTATTAAAAATTCGATGGCGTCGAACTTACACAAACAAGAGATCGAAGCAATTTGTCGCCACATTTTCACGGTTATTATAATAAATGTTACAGTACATACGGTTTGTTTGATTTACAAGATATTAATGCGTTTTACATACACGTACACGATACATTTATAGGTCGATGATTGTCAACAAATACACAGCGACTTATCACCATCTAAAATATTAAACAACAACGTCTATTGTGTGTTCACAGTGTCGTACATACACAACAATAAAACAAAAATTATATAATTACTATAATATTTATATGTATATATGTATACGTATAAATTAACTTTTATAATAATCTCGGCTAACGACTATTTTATCGATCATTTCATTGCTAAAAATAGCTTTAAAACGTAATAAAAGCTAATCAACAGGAATTCATAAGGTGTTTTCTATAATTTATTTACAAAATAATGTAATCTCAAATAGAATTCAAATGCATAGGCGCAGAGTGGTCAGAAAAAACGAATTGTAATCGCATTTACAAATTATAATTATTCATATATATTTATACATATACATATAGGTATATATATATATACATACAAATACCCTGTGTTAATCACAACGAGCAAGAATAACAATAAAATTCACAAATATAAAGTAGTAATAGTTAATGGTTTTACAAAAACAACATCATACGTAGTAAAAGGTCGTGGGGCGATCAGAGAGATTATTTAAATTGAAGACGGCGGCGGCGGCTCGTAGGCTTTATTTTGAACTTGCGGGTAAGGCGGCGTCCAGTTTGTTCGTGTAAACGAATACGTGTTTACATTAATTATAAATAAAACCGTTGCCGTATAACTGTGTGTTTAAAGGTTTTTATGTTTTAAAAAATAGTCAGGATTATGGTTATTATTAAGGTGGCGATTAATTAAAAAACAAAACAAAACAAAAACTTAAACGTTAAAAGTTCGTTAAAACGTTAAATTCGGCTGTACACGTGCAAGAGCCTAAATAATAATTACTATTACGCGAGAATTAATCTCGTGTAGTGTAAAAATTACAATAAATCGAAATTTCTTTATCGATATTGTATATATATATTTAATTCGACGAGTTCCGACTTTTTACGAATAAATAACAATAAATGTAAATCGCACGTTGTCAATCCCTTAATATATATATTTTAATTAACGTGCGGTGGTTAGAGACGACAATGGGGTCCGGAGGTAGAGAGTTTAAATCGATACGGGAAAATATAAAACCGATGAAAAAAGAACCTTACTGATGAATACCGATAATTTCATATGTTACATAAAAAATATTTATTATAATTTACAATTTTAAATAAATGGTATTTTAGTTTAGGAAGGCGTTCACATTAACAACAGCAACAACAACAATGACAATAAGAGGATTAAGCACGTGTAATTTCTGTTGTCATAATTTAGGACGAAGCCGCTTTGTAGTTGATCGGTCCGTACGAACGGTAATCCACGTCGGCGTATTCCAAATCGTTGGCTTCGGCCGAACAGTTTCCAGGTTTGTACGGCTAAAACACACATAATAATAAATTAGAAACGAAAATAAAAAATTATCGCTCCTACTGCACCCCGCGTTAAATTAAAAAGCGGCGGTGTCAAAAGTTACGAATATCGTTGAAAGCATCAGAACAATATTTTGTAATTCCGATGAGGTTATCGACTGTCTAAAGGGCTTTAAACAACGTTGAAACTCACGGCCTCGTGAATTTCAACGTTGTGTGTACACGACTTGAAAAATTCGAAATATTTGAAGCACAACATTACGAGCTTATAAGCTCGTAATGTTATGCTTTGAACAATTTGGTTTTTTCCGTGTATTCTTTGTTTTTTTTTCCAAAGTTCATTCGTACATTTTTCGGTATTACAATGGTTTTTTTCTTTTCCTCCATTCTCCGTACTGTCGCCTATCAAATCGCGCATCGACTGTAATTACAATGAAAAAAAAAAAAAACAACAATAATCGTGTATGACGTTTTTATTTGTCAAACCTTTTTTCGTTTGCACCGACCGGTTCCGGGAATAAGGTTTTTCGATAAACGTTTGTTTAGTTTATAGATTTGTATATTGTTTGCTTTTTAAGGGTGGAAATTCAATTTAGTCGGAAAAGGTCGTTTAAAAATAGAAAATCAAGAAAACATACAAACGCCGTTATAACGTGCGCGTTATTTTTCTACCGTCGACATGATGTTAAATGTCGTGGGAGGGGGCGACTACTACGCGTGAACACAATTAAATTTCTTATTAGTGTGTAATTACTAGACGACGCACTACGATTTAAACGATATTGCGACACGGCCGAAATTTTCAAAGGCTATCGAATTTATTAACGGCCGAGTTTTTTTTCCAATGACAGTTTCCCCAAAGGTGGTGTTTTAGCATGCGTATTAATACAGTTAACTTACAATTGTTAGGAGGCGCACTTGTCGGTACACACACACAAACACACACGAGTGGTGGTTAGAACACGGCGCGGAGTCTACACGTCGATTTCTCGTCCGACATCTCGATGAAACTTGACGGTGCCCGCCGGGGTATCCTCACGGTTTGCGGTACCGTCGGCAGAAGTAACGCCGCCGCAGCCGACCACTGCGACTTCGGGGGCGTCCGGTCTAGTGCCCGGACGGCCGTCGTCGTCGTCGTCTTGGCGGTCGCCGCCGGCTGTACCGGCCTTCCAAGTGGACGATCCGCCGGGACAGTAATACGAAGAGGACAACGTGCGCTTGGGCTGCGACCGCTTTTGTCTGCCGCCCGTGTCGTAACCGTTTACGCTGACCGTTCTACCGCCCAAAGTGTTGTAGTTGCCGCCGTTGTCGTTGATCGCGTTCGTACGTCTCCTGCCGTAGTAGTGACTGTTGGTGAAACTCGTGTGTTCCGCGCCCGCCGAATCGGCCCAAACGTTGCGGCGACGTCTCTGCGATTCGGTGTCCGGCGCCGCCGTATCACCGCCGCCGATCGTGTTGGTCCGGCCGTACATTCCACCGGCGTGCCCTTGACGTCTCCGTTTCGTGCTGTTGCCGGTCGACGGGTCTTTTTGTAGCGATCCGTCCATACTGCCGCCGCCGCCGGCATTCGGCTGTTGGACGCTGCCGCGATGATAATAGCTGTCGAGGGTGGCTCCGCCGTCGTCCTCTCGTTGCTGCGGTCGCCTCTGGCCGTACGCCGGCCACCGCTGCGGTTCCCGGAGTTGTTCGGACCGTCGGTCGGCCATCTGGGTCATTTCCATCGATTGGTGGTGGTGATTCGGCTGCAAGGCGGTTCTGGATATCGTTGTACTGTTGTACTGTTGGGCGGTCGGTGCTACGGGCGTCGCGTACTGGTTCGTCGTCTCGTTGGCCCTGTCGTTCCGGCAGAGTTGCGGGGGTTGTTGTCGGTCGTGCTGGTACTGCAGTTGAAGCTGCTGTAGCTGATAGCTGAACTGATCGATGTTCCGAGCGGGCAACTGTTTGGTTAATAACAAACAAAAACACACAAAAACCGAAGTGTTAGTAGTATTTGTCACAAGCACAAAATAAGTTAAAGGGTTAGTTATAGTTAATAATAATATAAATAGTAATAATGATTATTATAATCATTAATATAAAAATGAAAATAATTACAATTGAAGCATGTTACGATATAAAAGCAAACTAGAAAGATCGGTTAGTATAGAATCCGATAGGTTTTATTAATTTTTTTCCATGCTATTCATTTATTTAGAAACATATTGATTTTGCTAATAAACCACCATCACCACTGTCACCACCGAATTACGTTAAACAACGACGACTACCTTGTTGAATCGTAGTAAATTCTGATAGGTTTCTGTTTCGTCGTTCAAATCCAATCGCTTACGACCTCTGGGGGCCGGTACGGGCCCCGATAGAGGACGTCCCCCCTTGACGTTGCGGTTTTGCTTTTCCTGCTCGCCGCCGCCGCCGCCACCGCCGTCGCCGTTGTTGTTGGAATCTTTTTCAACGACGGCGTTCGGTTTGATCCTAAGCGATCTGAACTGACGATTCGCGTTGGTTTTATTTCTGACGGGCCTCTGCAACGAACTGAATCTCGTTATGTCGGCTCCCCCTTTGTCCTCCAGCGCGTTTACGGCCTGGCGCAGCAGGGACACGTACCCGTTGGCCTTTGGCCGGTGAATCAATTCTGGCGAGACCACCAGAGGCGATACGGTTTTCGGCTGGTCGGCGGCGACGGTCGCTAACCGAGTTAGGCTAATGTTATTGTCGTCGTCATTGTTAGACAACAACTTTTGTGCGTAAACAAAGGTACATGTCAAATTATGACAAAAAACAAACGATAAATCCGTTAATAACATTGTTATTATCGATAAACATTTTGATTTCAACGTACCTGATTAGGTGGCGGTCGCATTCCGTGGAATGGTAGATTTTCGTAGAAAGCTTTTGAATCGATACCGCCGTTCGATCCTCCGTCTAGGGGTTGGCCCGATCTTCCCGTTCCCAAGTTATGACGATTGCCTCTCCAGTCTGCATTCAAAACGAAAGCACTTTATCGTAATTTCTTAATAAAATAATTAGATACAAATGAAAATTTGTAATATATTACGCATTTTAAAAACATATTTAAAGTATTATAAGAAAAACTATTTTACGTATCGTATTGTCCTATTTGATGATATTACATAGTTATTGTATTACACGCCTACTATGTCATTAAAAAAAAAAAATTACCTTTACCTTTTTTTTTTAAGTGTTTCAACGGCTTGTGTGATAATATTTTAAAAACAAATAGTTTGTTGTATATCAACACACGCACACGCCTAAAAATACTATCCTACAGTATATGTCATGCATTACACAACCAACGCAAACTACGTGCTATTGTAAAATAAAAATTTACTAAATAAACGAATACAATATTCGTTCGTTTCGATAATGACTTATCGAATTACATTATTTTTTCTAACAACTGTAATCGAAAAAACATACACGCACACAAACAATGNAAATAAACGAATACAATATTCGTTCGTTTCGATAATGACTTATCGAATTACATTATTTTTTCTAACAACTGTAATCGAAAAAAACATACACGCACACAAACAATGGAAAACGCATCATAATAAGAATAAAATACCTTTTCGGGTTCGCGTCAAAGTTAAAATATTACCAACAACGTCGACTACGTACCTTTTTGAATGGATTTGGGCTTAATCGACGGCGGGCTCTCGTTTCCATCGATGACCGGAGGTTGAATTGAAAATCGAGGAGGTGGCGGTGGCGGTAGGGCGGGCACAGCGGAGCGTCTTTTGGTCAGGTTCGAAACGCTCGACGACGATTTACCGTTTGCGTTGGTCATGTTCATCCGCCGTATGCGATCGGTTCTGGCCGACTGCGATTCGTTGGGCGCGGGCTCGTCGAGCAGCACCACTATTGCCGCCGGATCGTTACTCGTCTTCTCTTGCCGCGCGTCCGTGTTTCGGTGGCCGCCGCCGGCAACCTTTGACGGAGAATTTTCGGTCGTACTGGTAAACGACCCTTCGCATTGACGTCTCTGCTGTTTGACGTGCACCAAAACGCCCGGCTTGAGCGGCCACTTGCCCACGGCGGACGCGGGCGACTCGCTTGCTACAGGCACGGACATCCGATCTGTGGGCGATTTTTGGTCTTCCCCGCTGCCGCCGCCCCCACCGTTGTCAAAACCGTTGGGCCCGGCCGAGCCGTTTGTCGTGGAGGCGCTTCCCTCGGGACTGTAAACGGATAACGATAACTGTCGTCATTAACGTTCCTCAAACAATCATACACTACGGATAAGATGCGCAAAGGCCCCAAACACAAAGTAAACAAAGCCGACGGTCGTGTTCGAAGAACCAACACGAGAGAACGCGGACAGATGGAAAAAACCGTCACCGCCAAAGCTTTATTATTTTCTAAGTTCCACTGGAATACTTACGTTTGTCTGCCTTGATATTTTTTGTTGGCGGTTAAAGACGATCGATGGTCGTTGAAAAACAACAAGCTGCGACTTCGCCAAGCTGAAATTTGCGACGATGAAAAGGACGTCGTGAATTTTTGTTTAACGTCTGCGCCACACACAAAAAGCAAATAATACAATGACACACGAAAGCACACTAACGAGTAACGTTTAAACACTAAAAAATGTCAATAAAGTCTTACCTGCACTATGGGGTGTAACGTCGTCGATTAATAAAATGTCAAAAAAAAAATGAAAAGAAATAACAATTGAAACAAATAAAATTAATATACTCTAAGGGTATCGAAAAAATAACAATTATAATAGTAGTTTAGATTAAAACCTACAATTTCATTGTTTTATTTTTTATGTCCACAAAGATTTTTAAATAAATTTTTATTTTTATAAAAATAAAATCACGATATCAACTCACATTTTTGGGTACCGTCCGGCTGCATAAATTTCCTGCACAGTAAGAATATCAGCAATGACAAGACCGCGATGATAATTACCGCTAATATGACCAACACGACAACAACGATCCATCCGCTTTGGATGCCCAGGCCGCCCAAGCCGACCGCGACCAACAGTTGTTTCCACCACGGCGTATCGCCTATAAACAAAAAACAACAACAATTATTCGCCATTATACGACGATGATAACGACGGCGACTGTATTCTTTCTAAAAAATAACTGAACATTTTTATAGATCATTTCGCTACAACATAGTGCGTGTATTTAACATTTTACAACCACTAAATACGCACACTGTTCGAGTATCAATCACGCTCTAAGCGGTCTATTAAAATTCTACGTACACGATAAAAAAAAAAAATCTATTATACGAGTGTGGTTACCGTACTTACTTTTCCTGTAAGCTAATAAAAAAAAATAAACATTTAGTCGATGCGAATGTATTGCGTGTAAATGGAGTGTACGGAACGCGCGTAATATCTAATATGTTTATCGCATTTAATATTACGCGTATTACGTACTGGGGGGGGGCGGGCAAGTTTAACTAGCGCCGAAACTTACCTTGAACTTTCACGGTACACTGTTCCGTTCCCACGGCGTTGCTGATCGTGCAGACGTAGGTGCGTACCCCGTCGATGCCGTTTTCTTCGGACATGGCGACGCTTTCTTTGAGGATCAACACGCTCCGGTTGGGAGAGTACGCGGTGAATCCTTCGACGTCCGTCGGCACGACCGACTCGCCCCACGTCACCACGGTCTCTTCGGTGACGGGATACGATACGGCCGCTGGCGAATCGGTGTCGTTCTGGTTTTCGCGTCTCACCGTTGTCCAGGTGAACTGCACCTGCCCGGGATTGGCCTTCACCGTGCACACCAGAATCCGGCGTTCGGGATCGTCCAGGTCGTAGGCCGCCGCTCCGCCGTCGTCCGGTCGCGACGGGTTGTCCTTCAACAGACTGTTGACGATCGGCGTCGCTTCGGGATCGGACACTTTCATCAGGTTCAACGTGCAAGAGGGTTTATCTGGAAAACAAAAAATGACAACGGTAGAGTTGTGTGTGTCGTAAACGCGGTTTACGACTTATTTTTATAACCTAAAAAATTTCGATGCAATCGACACTTACACATAACGTCCAAGTAGGTTTGGATGACGCCGTCGCCGTGGGCGTTGTGCGCGACGCAAATGTAGTTTCCGGCGTGTTTGGGAAACACGGCCGTGTTGAACATCAGCCAGTTGGCGGTGCTCTTGCGTTCCATCTGCGAAAAAGGCTGTTGCTGCGTTGCCGTTTGAAGTTGGCCGGACGGCTGTTGAGACGAATTGGTCGCGAGGGCCGCCGCTGACGACGACGACGACGACGATTCCGAATTTTGACGGTACCACTCGAAAGTAGGGCCCGGATGAGCGTCGGCGTTACAAAACACTTTTTCCGGTATATTCCCTTCGTTGACGTGCACCACGGTTTTTGACACCGACATGTTTGTCGGCGGATCTGAAAATACACACACACACAATACGTTAGTTTACTTTTTGATTCCTATTCGTTTCGGGTTGGATACCCTGAGGCGTAAACCGGTAGTACTAAGAAATGGATTAGTGCAATGATTTCCCGGTACCTTCTGCACTGGGGATTTGGGATATGCTTTACGCCTCCGTAAAACGCACGTACGGTCACCCGTCCGTGCACTACGGCGACAGGCGTGGCTTAACACTAGAGCTTTGTCTAGTGTGCCCACGCCCATAATGCGTTAATAGAGAATCGCGATTATTATGGAAAAACGTCGAGTCGTGATACTTAATTAAGTGGCGTATTTAGATATTTTGTATGGCAAGAAGTTGAAATGGTATTTAAATGATAAATCGACACAGCAGTCGGCGGTAACGTTCAATGTGTTTGTTTATTTTAACGCCGCCGCCGCCGGTCGAACGCGTTACAATCACGTACATTCAACGGAAAAGTGCATTGTCGATTCGGGCACTCCCACGCCCACGTTGTTCGACGAACTACGGCAGCTGTACGTGGTCGAGTCGGTGGCCGGATCCAAACCCGGCCGGCCCATGCCGTTGGTCCAATTCTCCAGACGCCACACCAGCGTAGAACGAACTGCTTCGAAATCGTTTTTCAACCGTTCCGCCGGCAAGTATTCCGTGACTATCGAGTATCTGTGCGCACAAAAATAATAGTCGCATTAGTTTGCTACTACCACCACCATTATTACTTCAAACACTACTACAACTACTACTTCTCACACTACCACTACTTTATATCCTCTATGTTTACCTTTGTTTGTCTTGAGGGTTGTTTATCGGGTCGATGGGCACGTTCTGCCGCAACCATTCGACCGAACACAACGGGTAACACTCTACGGTGCACGAAGCGTTCACGTGAGTGTCGTTGTACGCTACGCCTTTGTACTGCGGAGCTCGACTAATGTAATTCGGAGGTGCTGAAACGAAAAAAACCGCGGTTAGATTAAAAAACCCGGAGAAAAACGGGCAGAGTTTCGGAGTATACACTCTGTCACAGTGTACACTCACCCAGTACTTCTATATAGACGGGCTCGGACTTGGTAACGCCTCCCGCATTGAAAGCGGAACACGTAAAGTTGGCTCTGGTCTCCAGGGACACGTGTTCCACGAACCACTCGGCGCTGTTGTTTTGATTGTGATTGTGATTGTTCATGATGACCTGATGACCGTCCCGGTACCAAGAATAATTGGTCGGGTGTTGAGGTCTTCCCAAGTACTGAGCGTTACATCTAAGCGTCACGTTGCGTCCTTTGATCACGCGCCGAGGACTGAATTCCAACGTCACGGGTCCCGGTGCGACTGTAAACCATCAAAATCGATCGCATAAAATTTTATCGTGACAATGCAAAATTCTGTTTAACAGATACGACGAGAGTAAATACATATATGATTATTTTTTTTTTTTTTACCATCAAAGAATTTATTTTTATATGTAAAAAAAAAAAAATTCTATTTCGTGTGTCTTTAAAAATTTTTTATGTATTTAAGTTTTACTTAATTAGAAAATCTTTTTTTCATCGTATTCGTGTTGTTTTGATGATGATCGATTTGAATTACATCCGTTTAAATGAACAACTGTACCGTGTGAATTGCAAAAAATAAGAACCAGTCGTCTGTCGGACGACATTAGTCGTCATTTTCATACCCAAGTACGATTTTTTTTTAATGTGNCGTGTGAATTGCAAAAAATAAGAACCAGTCGTCTGTCGGACGACATTAGTCGTCATTTTCATACCCAAGTACGATTTTTTTTTTAATGTACACGTTATTCCTACACGCGAATAGTGTATATTTGATATAAAATATCGAAAATTCTCGCGTACGAGAATAATATTTTCATTGTTGTTTATCCAAATTTTCCCTTACATCGTAAGTTATAAAACCTGCAATACGCTATGAATAAATTGGGAAATTTTTTTTTACAAGTATTCTTTGTAATTTTCCTCGAAAATTGAAAACAAGATTGTAAATCAATAAGAAAAAATTACAAGGAATGGGTTGAGTTTTAACTTTAACTAAATTCTACTTGCGTTTTTCCCTAATGAATTTTCGTACGTCGTTATCGTAAATCCGAATAGACCGAACGGAAAAACTGTAACGGCGTCCGACGCGACCTATCCGTGTACACTCGAGCGAATGGCGTCTCCCCGTCGTCCGGAAAACAAAAATGTATTGTACGGTCGTACTCACAGTAGACGACCAGAGGCGTTTGTTCGGACATAGGAGTCAACAGGCCGGCGGCGTTGCGGGCGCGACACGAGTAATTGCCGTGCATGTTCTTGGACACGTTCATCAGTACCAGCTCCCTGTCGCTGCAAACCACTCGCATCGTTCTCCTTTTGGACGTGCCGTTTTCGTCGGCGTGCTGGTTGCGCATGATCAACATGGTCTCCTCGTCAAAGTCGCCCGGTCCCACAATGCCGGGGCTGTAGAAATAGTTGTTGGTCGCGCCGTTGTTCTCGTCTTCGTCCTCGAAGTCGTCGTCGTAACCGTCCGGTCGGCTGCAGTTGGGCAGTTGCATTTGGACGCCGTTCCAATACCAGTGAACGACCGTCAGGTTTAACGACGGGTCGTACGTGCCGTCCGATTTCATACCGTCACTGTCCGCTTCGGCGCCGCCGTCTTCCGAAACGACGGCGCACCTCAAGGTAACGTTGAGCTGTTCCGATTCGAGGACGGCCGGCCGGTGTGAAGGCACCGACGACTTTTCGTCGTCGTTTCCTTCGCCGTCGATGACCAGTTCGAGTCTGACGCGCGGCGTGTCTGTAAACGAACAAAACACGAGTTAAATATAAAAGCGTACGGAGAATATGATAAAAACGTAAAAAATATATAAAATAAAAACAACACGGTTACAGTATAAAATATAATATACGCGATTTATCGTTTGTTAGCAATAGTGTCGGATTATAACATTTGAACGTTTATAAACGTTTTATGTCATATCATATTTTTGTATTATATAATACCGAGTGATTTTTTTAACGTTGGCCACTCAAATTTACTTAAAATCTTAAGTTTTTATTTTTTTTTAATTCTTTCTGATTTTGTTATTTACATATGAACTTCCAATTATTGGTTATAAAATAATTTTTAGGTTCTTTCTATCTTATAGGAGTGGCGACATTATTTATTTAAATGCATCAACACGCATATTAAACTAGCTTATACCAGTACCTAGGCGAGATGAAGAGGAAATGACTAGTGATAAAAATAGCAGCAACCACTCCTCACTTCCAGTCATTGTTAATAATTTCTGAAGTACTGAAAGTTGTTATCGACCAGTATTTTTCGTAATTAAATCATTTTTTATTTTATAAGCTGTTTAATATGCGCGTTGTCATTTTAAAAAGGCCCTACAAATTTTATTATAACAGATTAATGGAAATGCACATGTGTAACTTACAAAAAGGAAAAATTTCAAAAAGCTTATTATTTTAATAAGAGAAATCGAGTGGCCAAGTTAAAAGAATCATTCTGTACAATAGATTTTATTGTACTATAATAATAAAAAACGCGGTACATAAATACACATAAAGCGTTTCGTTATTATTCCGGTGAACGACTTACATTGTACCAACAACTTGACGACGTCTGTGGAATTGGTCTGTCCCACGGCATTACGAACCGAACACGAGTACTCTCCCGATGCGCTCCTATGTGCTCGATCGATGCGCAGTCCCGTTTCGTTTACTCTGAAGTACTTGGTGCTGGTACTACTCAGTAAGATATTGTTTGCCGAAGACCCGGCGGCCTTTCGGTTTCCTCCGCCGTAGTCTTCCACGGCGATTTCCACGCCGTTTCGGTACCTGAAAAATCGGACGTGTCTTCAATTGATCGAAGCCAACGCGAACGTCGAGTTGGCGCGATCACAGACTCGAAGACGACGACGACGTCCTATCGATTACACCACAAGGGAGCTGTGTAATCGATGCCGGACAATCGTTGTCGGTCTGTGATCGCCCCACGAATCAACAACACTCGAATAACTATTATTGAACTCGCTCGAGTTGGACAAACGTAATCTCGTAAAGCTTACCATTTGACCAGTGCGGGATTCATGGGATTCGCAGAATATTCGCACTGCACGTTTACGCTCTGCGACTCGTTGATCACTATGATTTTCGGCCTGGCCAGCCAAACCGTCGGGGCGTCTGCAAACCGTAAATAATGTTTATAACCGCGTGTACAACACATTCCGCACAATATCGTGTGGAAACACGACGAAATATTACTCTACTTACATTTCACTCGTATGGTCATATTGACCGAAAGCGGCCGCGTGGTAGAGCCCTCTTTGTTTTGTCCCACCGAATTGTACGCGTCGCACCTCAGTATAGAACCGTCTTGACGCCTGTTCAGCGACGACATTTCCAGTTGGCTGTGCGTATCTCTGGTGCCGTCGGCCTGCGACGGGAAACACGAATTAAAAATATTCGCGAAAAACCGTACGAACGTACGTTTTTTAACGCAATATAAATATAGTATCACGCGCGTAAACACAAAAATATATGTATATATATATATATGTATATATACAGAAGAAAACGAAATATTTTCACACTAAGTAATGGTCATGGGTATTTGATTTTTCCATGCAGATTTTCATGGAAAAAAATGAAGTTTTCTTCTGTGCTTTTCTCAATATTTGATATCGTAAAAAAATTCAAATTTTCACAAACTTTAAAATACTGCAGGAGATTTACCACTGAACATTAAATATATATTTTTTTTATCAAATTTTTCCTTAAAATATACTATGTGAAAGTGATATCTTAAAATTTTTGTAGTTTTTTAAATAAATTGTAAAATTATTATAGTTTTCTGTTGTAAAAAAAAATCAATGGAAAATTTAAATTGGATCAAAAGTTATAAAATTTGTCAAAATCTTTATACATATACATACAGAGACCACTCTGCATATATATGTATACATGTTGTACACATAATTGGATTTGTTACGACAAAATCTTTAATAACAATAAGCTTTTAAAATAGCTTATTTTGTCTGTTTCGCTTTTATTTTTCTTATAAAAAAAGCGTTTAAGTGGGGAGGGGCGGATTTAAGATTTTTAAGATTCAGATCAACGACGATCGTATACGCTCTGTGTGGGGTTTCGGGATAGAAAAATTTTTTCTATTGCGAATTCTGTAGCAGAAAAAATTTACATAAAAAAAAAACGGACTCTCGACGAACGCGTGCAATCGCCGAGTCGTCCGCTGTATAAATTAAACTGTGAACTTTCGTCGTACACCCGCCGTCCGGTGGTCTACAATTACCTGATACTCGGTGTGTTGAGCGATCTCTACGCTGCCGATGGCTGGAGCCGGAGGAGTGGTCGTCGATCCCGTCGTGGTCAGTTCGCCGGGTCGACCGGAAGACAAAACCACCGGCTGTTTGTGTTGATGATTAGATTTGCTGCTGCTATCGTCTCTGTCGACCGCGTTTTTCTTCGCGTCGTCTTCGTCGTTGTCGCCGCCGCCGCCGCTCTCGCCGGCATCGTCCTTTTGGTAATAGTACCAGGTGACGTTTGCTTGAGGTCGAGCGCCCCTAGCCACGCACTTGAGCACCAGTCCTCGTCCTTCGACGGCAGAAGCAGCCGCCGGTTCTGAATCGGACGGATCGCTGGTCCCGCTCACTGTGGCGGCGACGGTGTGGCTATCGTCGTCGTCGTCGTCGTCGTCATCGCCGGCATTGGATATGATTTGTACGGACAACGGGCGAACTGTAAAATAAAATATCGCGAGCATTACGTTAGGGTGAATGTCGATGGAGTACGTGTCACGAGCGTAACACATACTCCATACGCGACCACGAGGAGGTAGTTCAACGTCGTTTACGTGTGCGTTTACCACCAGAGTCGTGTGTATTGTCAAACGAGTGTTACCCGGCCGGATATCGAATAGAGCGACGATAAGCGGTCGGGTTATAAAAACAAACTATAATTGTATGTCTATAGTTACCGTTGACGGTAAGCTCCAAGAAGGACGTGAGCACGGGAGAAGCGTTGGCAGCCGTTTTTACACGGCATTCGTATCGACCGCCCGAACCTCTTTTCAGCGGACTCAACGTCAACACGTTGCGCGCCACCGACAATCCTCCCGGTAGTCTCTTGAACCGATAGTCTGAAACGAAACGGAACGATAAACGTTTAAAAAAATGTATATTCAAATGACAATAATAGTTTATCGAATTAAAAGAAATAAATTAAAAAATTAATCCGTACCTGTGCCGGAAGACAATTGAGATCCGTTCCACCACCAAGTAACTTGGGGCACGGGTTTTGCCCGACCCGACTCACAGTACAGTCGAACGTTGCCGTCTTCGTCGAGGGGTCCGACCACACTGCCGGAGTTCATTTTTACGGTCCTCTTTTGGGTTTCGTCGTACTCCGAGTCGCCGGCGTCCGACGCACCGCCGACTTCGTTGTTGTTGTTTCCGTCGTCGGCCGGCAAAACGCCAACGCCAATATAGTCCGGATCGACTGCGCGGAAAAACAAGAAAAAAATAAAACAAACGTTTATTGAAGACGAAACAAGTTTAAAAATCGTTAGAGACACTGTCTCTTCGATGTACTCACTGTGTGTCGTCAGATTGATGAACTGCACGATGTTGCAACCTTCGTGTACCGCCGTGTACGTGATCTCGCACTTGTAAATGGACTCGTCCTGGGCGGTGATGTTTTCCAAAACCAAGTACGCGACCGTGTCGTTTGGCGTGTAACTCCAAGAGGTCCTGAAAACACATTGCGGTTTGTTAGCGTTTACGAATAATCGTGTGTCGTTCGATTTGTGTTGCGAATCGCGCGACAACACATGCGATTCTCGTCTACAATAAAAAATCTCATCCGTCTGGCTGGCCGGCCAATTACCTGTCTTGGTATCCTTTTCTGGGCTGAGTCACCGGTACCGCGCTACTGTATAGGAAAATGCGACTGGCGCCGCGGTACCATTTGACCGAATGCACGGAACCGCATTGGTGTCGTCCGCGGTCGTCCAATTCGCACGGCAACATGGCGGACTGGCCGATTTGGACACCGATGTCACTCTGTTGTTCGCCTGGAAAAGAAATATATGTAATGTAATCGCATTGAGGTATCGTCATTTTCCATGTTGACATATTTTCTTTGAATTCTGATATGTCTCAATAATGTTCGTTATTTTTGAAGACTTAAAAATTGGAAAAATGCCGATTTTTTCCTAAATATAATATATTTTTGTACACGGACATTTTTTTTACGCTTAGAACGATAATGATAACAATGATGGGCGCCGTAATACTTAAATTATAAATATATATTTTTTAAACTTATTGAGTTTACAAATTCATAGAAACTTTTAACGCGCTCTTTATCACCTGAAACAATACAAAACGGCAAGTCGATTTTTCGGTGTTTTATCTCTCGTAATACTATCATTTAAAATCCTCTATTCGTTTTGTGTCTCTTTCATCTCTTTGTGTTGAGCCTTTTTCTTCAACACGTCTTCACGGTCATGTCGGAAACGATTATACCACTTGTAAATCCTCGTTTTACTTATAACACACCCACTATAGTCCTTTCACATTACACTTTTTCATTTTTTACGCAAAAGTTGATACAAATCCTTAGATCCACAAAAAAAAATTGTCTCATAAAATCACGTCCAAATTTAGCGGCGGCCCCTGACAAATTAAAAAATGAATCCAGCTGAAAACTTTATCATACTTCGGGGACATGTGTACCAACATTATGAAAAAATTTGTTTTGATAATTGGACTATCCAAACCCGATAAATTTAAAAATTCCTGTTATTTTCTGAACACAACTCGTATGTGAACCATACACCAAGCTCGTCAGATTAATGAAGCAATATATTACTTAGATTTATCAAAATTTAGTAAAAATGTGTTAATTTGAATTTTATTTTTAGACAAAATAGTAGCTTTTTTTGTTGAAGAGCACTGTTTAATTTTTTAAACAATTCTATATCAATACTGATGATTTTTATTTACACGAAAAAAAATTATATGCTCACTTAAAATACTAAATGACTCAGCTAAGAGAGAGTAAAATGGAAGATTTCTTGGAAATTTAACAGTAAAACGTAAAAAAGCTGAGTTACTTTTATGCTATGTTTAAGAGCAAAGATAATTATATCTTAATTGCAAAAAAAGAACATTAGAATATAATTTTTAATATTAATTATAATTTGGAAATTATTTTGAAAATTAACATTTTATATTTTATGTAGCAATTTTTTTTAAATAGGTTCAATAATATTAAGAAATAAGTATACTAATGCGTTTAAGCTAATCAATTACATAAATTTATAATTAAATATACAATTATAGCTATTTCACCTGTAGCAATAAAACGATCGTTTAATGAAATGTTTAATTATTAGTTTTATTTTGTAAAATTTAACTTTAAACAATTTTCGTATGAAACTTTAGGTCGGTATCACATATGGTTCGTCAGATAAGATGAAATATTCGTAAACATTCGAAAATTCGACAATTTCAAGAAATATTACGTATATTGACATTTTGTTGGAAATCTAATGAATTTAGAAGAGAAACTGTTAGAATTTAATTTGAATGAAAAAACATAATTATTATATTATTATTAAAAATTATTTAATTTCAATAATTTTTTTTGTGGAAGCGCTAATTTATGAGTTAATTGCTAAAACTAAAAAACTACCTCTTTTGAACGATTTTTAATCCTAAGTCGGCACGGGTTAAACTTGTCTGATCGGCTTTAAATTTTTTGTACTCACTTTTTATATGTATATACAAAAATTTGGGGCGTGAGCCCAAAGAATTTTCAAAATGTTAAAAATAAGCGACACTCTAATATATATATATATATAAATACATTGACTCCTTAATAAGCCTTACGAAATATCTTCGAAAATATTATAGCTAATGATTATTTGGCTTTTTTATCAATAACGTTTTTTTATTTTTGATCTGAGTTACATATGAAAAATTGATTTTTTTCTATCATCCCTCATACTCTAAGCTCGTATCGACTTTTGATTTAAACAATCAAAAGCAATTAGCAAACTAGATTTTTATATCATCAGATTTATTCAATCGATAAAAAAATAATTTTGTTTTCAACAAATTACGGAGCTGTCTAATGTTCAGGATCGATCGGGAAAAAGGAGTAATTATTTTTAAAGGACAGTAACATCTTTATTGGTTCATCAATCGATAAGTGCTACCGGTACATAACCGGTTCTTGGAGGAGGTGTGCAGTTTGTCACATATTTATACGAACCGGTAGCGTTTATCGACATACGATATGATAATGTTCCTGTCTTAAAAAATAAATACGTATTTATTTGATGGCGTCTAAAACTTTAAACAGAAGTAACCCGTTGAAAATCGAATAATATCAAAAAAAATGTGTTAGCAAAAATTGTTTTTGTTTTTCAATCTAATAGGGCCAGAGTGATGAAAAAAAATGAGATTGCTATTTGAAAATTCAAAGTTGATACAGACTTAGTGGAATGATAGAAGAAGTTTGATTATTTGTGTAAAGCAGATCATCAAAGAACCATTAATGTTTTACAACTATAATTAAGCATTCTAAAGTATCTTGTATATATTATATCTTGTACATAATTTGTTTATCGAAACAATTTTTCCGTCACGATTTGTTAATATTGCATATTTTCTGCATTAATAGCTCAAGTTTGGTGTAACTTAAGCTTTGAATGCAATGTCTTGTTTAAAATCAATCGAAGGAATGGAAATATTTTAATAATTCGGTTGGGTTTAGCGCGTTGAAGTCATGTTCTCGTTAACGCGTCAGTTACATCGAATAATATACTTTTTGGGATAGTTTTAAAGCTTTAATGTGATTTTCGAGTTTTAAACACTTTGTCGGGACTTGGATAGTAATACTTTGGTCGATGAATCTTCTACGCGGTTTACAATTTCAACGAAAAAATGATTACAACTTGTGTGTTTTTTTTATTATCATATTAATTTTTCTTTATAATTTCTTTAGCGCCACAAATAAAAACTGTACATAATTTGATTGATTTTCGATGCGTTCATTTTGAGAAACTGTCGACGAAAAATTTAATTAGTTTATATATTTTTTGTTATAAATACGTGTATATTAACGCGACGGATTTACACAAAAACGTTTTAAAACAGTGATTTATACTTTTTAAACGGGGCCCTCATTGTTACTGTGATACGACACAAATGTCGGGGGGTCTTGAAATTAGTTCTGATATACTCTTTTGTGAAACCAATGCGTGTGCTAAATCCATTTTAAGTTTTCCGCGCTCGAACAACAACAACAACAGTAACAATAATGTGTACACATAAAAGTGTGTGGGCTAAGAGCTCGATATAAACTAGTTTATATCACACGCGTATACATGCTACACACACGTATATACATACAACACACACGTATATACATACTACACACACATATATACATACTACACACACATATATACATACAACACACACTGCTTATAGTTTACGGTCCAAGTTTTCTTAGGCGAGTCGGCTTTAGAAAACAGCGATTGCTGCGAGAAGCACATTCTCGCTCATTTGTTATCCCCCGTGCCGAGCAAAAACTTTTACCGCCATCGTCCATGTTGTCCGTAACACACCCGCGCCCGCCGCCTCTTTTTCCGAGTTCATCCGCCGTCGCTGCTAATCACCGGAGAGCAGTTGTGTGCTGCTGCTGCTGCCAGTAAAACAACATTATGCGGCGCACCGCGCACCTTATAAAACCGTATTACGTTAATGGTAAGTACCCGTATGATTGTGGGCCAAGTTAATCGGATTCCGTTTTTTTCCGCGCCCCGCACCACGCACCGAGTGAAGCGGTCGTATCGTGAAATCCGTTTGTTCCGGAAACTTCGAGAAGACGAGAACAGGAAGAAAATCGTTTGACGCGCGTGCCCAGTCAGGTTTCTTATTATTATTAATAACAGGATCGTCAGATACGAAATCGCTTTTGATAACGACGAGTGGTATGCACGCGCCCGTTGTGTCTCAACAGACATAAGCGACGCGTTTATTAATTTTTATCGTAAACGGGCTATTCGTCCAGAGAGTAACTCTATTTGAGTCGCGATTGTTAAAAAAAAAAAAATTATATTTTCGTTAACGGGCGAAGATTAATCAAAGTCAATCGGCGGCAGCAGTTGATTCGCGTGGCGTAATTACCTGGCCGACGTTGCTGTCGTGTGCACGGGACGAGAGAAAAAGGTTGGCGCGCCGACAAAATCGCGGAGAACGAGACGACGTTGATGTATTCGATTATTGGACGCGCGAGAACGTACCGAGCAGGAAATTACCACCACTGCGCGGGATAACCCGGCGTAGTAGTAAAAGCAACGGAAAAGCGATGTTAATGACTATAATCGTTCGCTCGGAGGCGGTGGTGGTTTAAAAAAAAACCCCGTCCCTCCATCGTGTAGGGACGGGGTTTTACACGTTTTACCCGGTGTCATACGCGTTTTCGTGTGACGTCCCGAGGCGATGGTATTCCTCGTAATATGATTTTGTCGTCTCCGGTTTCCGCGGCAACCGTAGATTGCTGTTTGTTTTTTGCTCTTCTATTACACGACACACACGCACATTGCCCGTATGCCGTTGCCGTGCACACAATATTTCCGAGATGAACGCCGAAAAAATAGTGAATACGACTTTTTGGGCCGATCAAAGAAAACGCCAGAGGGTGTTGTTGAAAAAACACGCGTTCGTACCGTTCGATTATCGCGGTCCGGACAACGACAACGACAGTGGTCGTTTCCAACGTGGCCGACTAGACAAAAACTCGGACGACCCCGTCCGACCGAAAGACGAAAACGACAACGGTTTACGACGACCTTTGGCCGAGCACGTGTTGAAGGCCAGAGCCCATCAGCTGAGATGTCGACCGCCGAAAATATGCCGTACCATACAGACGGGTTCGGCGGTTCCAAAGCTAGAGTTTTCAAACACCGTGTGTCCGCTGAGAAGAGCTCTGTACGCCGAACAAATGTCTTTGGCTATCAAAGAGGTATCGTAGTGTTCACTGGTAGGGGGGAAGTGA